TCGGGACAACCCCCCTCGATAGGTGTGAAAGAGAACTAGCTTCTGGAACCATCTTGGGTGTGAAAGGGTACCAACTTTGTTTGACTAAATGGCTTCAAGACTTAATGAGGTAGCTTCTGGAATACTCTCGTTGGAGGTGGTTGGCAGTTCCCGACCAAACATTGTTCACTGGAGTCGAACAATGTTTCCTTCAGCAGCAAACTCGAGTTCTGGGAACCTTTCGCAAGTTGGAATATGCAAACTCGTACAAAACATTGTTTCGTCAGAATCAGAACAATGTTTCTTCAGCAGACAACTCATCTTCACGAAATCCTAACTTTGTTCCTTCGCCATAAAACATTGTTTTGCATGGACTGAAATGTGTTTGGCCTTTTTCGATATCGCGCCTGAGTTCAACCAACAACAAAGGAGGTGAAGGCACAACCATGTTTTCAAGGTCAAATGATATACTTAAGTTAGAGTTCACCTGATCATGTATTTGCATTGCGCGGCTTCTTGTGATTGGACCGTTGATGATTGGTGGTGTGTTGCCCATGGTTGGGATGTCCTCATCAGAACGTGACTTTGCAACATCAAGATCAACAATATATCAGCAATACCTACGTCGCTATCACAGCCGTACTTTCCAGGAGGGCGACTTAGTGCTCCGACTGATACAAGATCAAACTAGCATGCATAAGCTTTCACCTCCATGGGAAGGGCCTTTTGTCATCAGCAAGAACCTCAACAATGGGTAATATTATTTGATTGACATACGTGAACACAAGAAGTCACGTACATCTGAGGAGGAAACCAACATGCCTTGGAATATTGCTCATCTCCGTCCTTACTACACTTAGAGCCACTGGCTCCAGCTTTTGTACATACCTATGTGTATATATTTTTTATGATCAATGTTAATAACGCCGACATCCCCGAAACTCGGGGCCTCTGTCCCTTTGTCCCATATATTGTACATGAGTCTTTATTTATTGATCATAGGTTAATTGGGGGCTTCCAACTCATTGAGTTTAGCTACTAACATCCCTCTTGGCCCGACATATGCCATTATATATCATGGTTAAACCTGCCTGTTTGCTTGATGCTCATCCGCCGAGATGACCCGGCGTACTCTTGACAGTCAATGTATTATGACCCTGAACTTGTCAAGGTTAAAACACCGTCTTAGTCATGAGAGAGTCGGCTTATAGAAAGCTAGGATAAACCATAGGCTATCAAGCCAACTTCATTGTAGCAAGACTCGAGCCTCGAAAGGCGACCTAACATCTATATTTATCTGTGTTTATTAAACTTGTTCATTTTACAGGACTATCTTCTTTGATCGCGATTGATATTGGCCATGAGCCACCAGGTCATTAATACAATGTCTTCTTTCTGATCATGGACAGACAAATATCAACCATGATTTGCCGGGTCAATAAAGCACTTGATTATTCTGATCATAACTCATGGTTCAGTTGGCAGACAAGAATTAGTTATTGGCGACTCACACAAATATGACTCGCCAAATCATTACTTAACAAAACAGATTTTTCAAAGGAGACTGGGCCAGTCAACATAACCCACACCAGTCAAAATCTTTATGCTCAAAGTATCAAAAGTGCGCGAAGGCACCACAAATGATGCAAAAGTTTTACTACCCTATTACATAGCCACGCTTGGGCTCAGTATGTTAACAAAGTTTTTTCAGGAGTTATCTACTCCTATAAGCCGGCCTCTGTGCCCTCCGGGTTGTCTCTTTCCCGGTTGACACCTTCTTGAAGATCTTCCGTGTTTGAAGCCTCTGGCTTATCCTGCACTGGCTCTTCTTCTTCTCCGATCTGAAGGTTGTTCAGATCCCAGTCGATAGTTGTTAATGCTTGGAAGATGGCATCGACTTGCATGATAATTGATGGATCGACATCAGGAGCGAAGATATGCTTACGCCGTGCAGGAGTCAGGTCAAAAGGTTCAATGGTTGGCGGCTTAACTCGTGCGTTCTCCTCATTATAAGTTGGCTGATACTTGTTCAAATCAAGATCTTGAACTAGTTGACTCGCCAAGACGCGCGTTTCCTTCATGCAGCGGGCATAGTCTATTGCAAAAAACTGAGTGCCGTCAACATTGAATTCATGAAAGCCGCCAAGCATCTCAGCCGTCTCCATCTCTGGCAAAAAAGCTTTGGCGTGACTAAGTGACATCATCGCACCAGTCCGGGCGGATGATTTCTTCCACTCCTCAATTTGTTTGGGGATGGTGGATAGTTGTTTCAACACATCCTTTATAAATTGTGGCGGCTCTTTACCACCCTTCACAACCATGATGGTAAACATGCTTCCTACATATAGCTGCTCCAGGAAGGTATGTACAGCCTTTACCTTCACCAGGGGTGCCTAACAGAGATTTCCACTTCTCGTACCTACACAATTTCGAGATTCAAAGGTTACAAAAAATGCCGCCTAAAAATTGTTAGGCGGGTTATCATCAACTTAGTTCAGAACAAGCTAGCTTACCAAAGTAGTTGTGGTCGTCTAAGTGATATACTGCTTCAATGAGTTCAGCTCTTCAGTAACCGGCTTAAGCTAGCCCTCTACTTCCTCAACGTGTTTCAACAACGCTGCTTTTTCCTCCTCATGAGAGGTCTTCAAGGAGCTCAAGTTTTCAGAAGCAACAAGCACTACTTTTTGCAATGAGGAAGCTGATGACTCAGCCTTCTTGCGCAACCTTTTCTCAGTTTTGAGCTGCTCTTGAAAGCTGGCAGCCTTTGATTCCGCAAGGTTCAACATATCCTGTCATAAACCAGCAAAGTCAACATGGATACATATTGAGTCCCGAGCCGACAAAGTTGCATAACCCCACCCTTGGGGATTCAAGACTGAAAAGTTTCTATATTCTAGTCCCAAGAAGTTGCAAGCAATCTACATGGCACTTGGGGGCTAAAAAGAATGACCCGGCCCTAAACGAGCGGGTGATATCGCGGGGTTATATCCCCAACAGATGGTGTGTATCCTGCGCGACCCCGGGCATGCGACAGACTCTCTGGCAAGGTGCTCGTCATCGTGTACCGTTGGCTTGCTCGACTGCCTGTGCGCCTCGCGCTGGCCGTGCGAGTTGCAGCGCCGCGAAGCGAGTTGCACTGTCAGCTGAGGTTGAGCTGTCTGACGAACCGGCACCGAGGAGGAGCAGCAGTGCTAGCTCGGCTCGGCCAACCAATTTGGCTTGGTTGGACCATGTATAAGGTTTGAGTCTAAATCGCGTTGGAGCCCGAGGGCGTCGCCAACGCCTCCACAATAAGACATCATCGCGAGCATCTCCGCGTCGCGAGGAAGAGAGCCACCACTGGTCCTGATCTTCTAGAGATGAACCGAGGGCCGCGTCGTTGTGTCACGTGCTGGAGGATGTTCTGCGCCGCACACCGTCTCAATCAAGGAGCTTGGACATGGTCAAATGGACCAGGACCAAGCCGAGTGCAAGCATGGGTGGTTGTGCGTTGGTGGCGGGGCGGCCCATGTTGTATCTCAGGCCGAGGGGGTCTTGCCAAGCATGCACCGGCCGATGGCCATGGCAATATACGTGTCGCCTATGAGCATCGCCGCACCATTGTTGGCTGCACACTGGAGGGTTGACGGGTGTCGGGTCGCTGCTGGCCGAGGAGAGCCTCGCCTTGGATGATGCCGTTCCTACCGCGCACTGTGGGTGAAGGATGTTGTCTCAGGTGCTGCCACTCTGCGAGGATGCGGCCCGAGCTACCGCACCATGACTGGTGAGCTGATCGTTGTTCCGTTCGTCACTAGTGCCGCCGCGTGATATGAGCGAGAGAGAAGGCTCAGGCGCGGTCCACCACACAAGGTTCGCGGGCGTAGTCGGCATGCCTCCCCGCCATGTCATCCTTGCAAGCGGGCCCTATTTGTCCAGTTAGGCTTTCAAAAAAAGGGTTCAAACTAGAATTAGTCTAATTTTTGCGGCCTACCCTAAGCTTTGTACTGATATGCTAAAAAATCAATGAAAACCCAGCCACAAATGTGGTAATTGTAAGCAATTAAGGAAGTGTTTGGTTGCAGATCGGTAACGCAAACGCAAATGTAATCGGGTTACAGCGTTAACGTAAACGGTATGGGCAAAAATCAAACTTTGTTTGGCTACCTACGCTGTAACGTTAATGAATACCCTGGACCTGCGCATGGGGGCGAGGAAGAAGGCAACATCGTTCCTGTCTTGGAGGCGAGGGCCCGAGAGCGAGGCTAACAGCAACGACAACAGCGGCAGCGCCGGCGGCGGACACGACGGCGGCTGGTTGCGGCAGCGCAGGCAGCGGACGCGATGGCGCCGGCGGCTGGTTGTGGTGGCGACAGCGGCGGCGCCGACGGCGGTCGCAACGACGGCGGCTGGTTGCGGCAGCGCAGGCAGCGGACGCGATGGCGCCGGCGGCTGGTTGTGGTGGCGACAGCGGCGGCGCCGACGGCGGTCGCAACGACGGCAGCTGGTTGCGGCGGCGCCGATGGCGGTCGCAACGACGGCAGCTGGTTGCGGCGTCGGACGCGATGGTGCCGGCGGCTGGTTGCGGCGATGGCGTAGACGGCTGGTGGCGGCAGCAACGCTTTAACCATCGCAGAGGAGATAGCGAGGAGGGAGACGGCTGCAGCGGCTTTCGTTACGGATAATTTTGACCGGTAACAGATTTGTACTAGGCTGGGATCTAATACCGTGTTATGGGATTATGGAGCAACGAAAACAAACAAGATTTGACGGTATCTGTTAACGCTGTAATCAGGTTACGATACAAAAGCACGAACCAAACACCTCCTAACTCTCATCCACAAATCAGAACAAAAAAGCGCAAAATGCACACTAAGACACTGACACGACGGGCCAGTGTCTACACTGTATACAGAACCCTAACGGATTATGCTTTCCCGTATAGACCAATCTCACCCGTAGCTCTCCGAAGGCCACAGCCACCAGTATCCGACCCCCGGTTCCTCCGCTCGGCCGCTCGCGCCGCCGTGCACAGCCGGGTGCCAATGGAGCGCCTACACCTCGCGGTGTCCCACCGCCCGGCTCTCCCCCTCCCCACTCCTCACAACCACCTACGCCGCCGCCATCTCCAGCTGCAGCCCTCCACTAGTTCTCTCTCCCTCTGCCGCCCCATCTCCCCTCACATCTCCCTCGCCCCTCGCCGCCACCTCCATCCTCTCCTGGCCTCCGCGTCCGCCACCCAAGCTTCAAGCCCCAACACTGAGCCCGCACCGGCGCCGGCCCCCGCCGCGGCCTCGTCCGGCGCGAAGCTGCTCCCCCTCATCGCCTCCATCGCGGTCGGCCTCGCAGTGCGATTCCTGGCGCCGCGGCCCCCCGAGGTGACTCCGCAGGCGTGGCAGCTCCTCTCCATCTTCCTCTCCACCATCGCAGGGCTCGTCCTCGGCCCGCTCCCCGTCGGCGCGTGGGCATTTCTCGGCCTCACTGCTACCGTGGCCACGGGTACGCTCCCCTTCACCGCGGCGTTCGGGGCGTTCACCAACGAGGTCATCTGGCTCATCGTCATCTCCTTCTTCTTTGCACGGGGGTTCGTCAAGACCGGCCTCGGCGACCGCGTTGCTACCTACTTCGTCAAGTGGTTGGGTGGAAGCACTCTGGGTCTATCCTACGGTCTCACCATCAGTGAGGCATGCATCGCGCCGGCCATGCCCAGCACCACGGCGAGGGCTGGAGGGGTGTTCCTTCCCATTGTCAAGTCGCTGTCGCTATCGGCCGGCAGCAAGCCGAATGATCCATCAGCGAAGAAACTGGGTGCCTACCTTGTCCAGTCTCAGCTGCAGGTACACTACAATTTACTGACGCACATGCCAAAAGACTGCGCTTTTTATTTACGAATTTAAGATATTACTGATGAATCATTGTAATCTTGGAGGTGCATTTTGCCCAGATGGTCATCAATTTTTCCCGAGATCGCTGAGTCCGTGATATGCGCTCATAGCTAGGATCACGTTCTGTTTCTCATATCCTGATAGAATACATAATTACCATTTTATCTCTATACTACATTGCTTATGGGGGTGCTCAGAATGAGTTCTTCATTGCGTCACATGGGTTGTCCATATGCTGACAAGCAAGTAGGATGGATCTTAGTAATAATTATTATACTCCTAAGATTATAATTTCTTGTGCGAAAATTTCTGTCTTGCTATTATTAATCAAGAGTTCTGTTTGCTTCCTCATTGCATCCAGAAGCATGCGTTCTGGATCATTCTTATACTTGAAAGCACCTTCACTCTGAAACTATTGGAAAATATGTGGCATTTGTATCACAAGATCTGGTTTGCATGGCATTTTTTAGTATGCTAGCTACCTGCGTTAAACACCGTGTCAGGGGCAGAACTTGATACATGTAGGCTGTACTAGTGTTGTTTGAATGGGTTTACACGGTCAACAGATAGTTGTGGTCATGGAGTCGATATATTTTTACTATTAATTAAGGGTTCTTCATAATTACTGGAATTTGACTCTGTTATGTGGGCTAGCTCATCAAATGATGGAGTCTTATTCCTTAATTAGAGTCCTGGTTGATTAAGCAAGTTTGTTAGGACTTAGGAAATAGTCCAATCAGTTTAGATTGTATTAGAGTTTGAGTAGGGCGGATGCTAGGAATCATCCGGCTGATCCGTGTGTGGGATCAGCCGGGTCGGTAGCCACTCGATCGTCTTGCCAGCCCGTATTATAAGCCATCCGATCCACCCGTCAAACCTGTTCGATTCATTTCTTTTGGAGGGTGCGGGTCGCGACTCGCGGGTACTTCTTTCACATAAAGCTACGCACACATGACACAGTGAAGAGCTTCTTGTTCAGCTAAGTAGCAAAGTCATCTCATATCAGTTCCGTAGCAAGTCACCCATTGCCTAATAAAAAAACGAAATTGCTATGCACACGATTGTTTGACAGACGATTTTTGCACGATGCTCCCATCGATGGCTGCTGCATGCAATACATACGTGATAAACGGTTGTAGATCTCTACAACAACAACAACAACAAAGCCTTTAGTCCCAAACAAGTTGGGGTAGGCTAGAGATGAAACCCATAAGATCTCGCAACCAACTCATGGCTCTGGCACGTGGATTGCAAGCTTCCACGCACCCCTGTCCATAGCTAGCTCTTTGGTGATACTCCAATCCTTCAGGTCTCTCTTAACGGACTCCTCCCATGTCAAATTCGGTCTACCCCGCCCTTTCTTGACATTCTCCGCACGCTTTAGCTGTCTGCTATGCACTGGAGCTTCTGGAGGCCTGCGCTGAATATGCCCAAACCATCTCAGACGATGTTGGACAAGCTTCTCTTCAATTGGTGCTACCCCAACTCTATCTCGTATATCATCATTCCGGACTCGATCCTTCCTCGTGTGGCCACACATCCATCTCAACATACGCATCTCCGCCACACCTAACTGTTGAACATGTCGCCTTTTAGTCGGCCAACACTCAGCGCCATACAACATTGCAGGTCGAACCGCCGTCCTGTAGAACTTGCCTTTTAGCTTTTGTGGCACTCTCTTGTCACAAAGAATGCCAGAAGCTTGGCGCCACTTCATCCATCCGGCTTTGAATCGATGGTTCACATCTTCATCAATACCCCCATCCTCCTGCAGCATTGTCCCCAAATACCGAAAGGTGTCCTTCTGGGGTACCACCTGGCCATGGCTAACCTCCTCCTCCTCACACCTAGTAGTACTGAAACCGCACATCATGTACTCGGTTTTAGTTCTACTAAGCCTAAACCCTTTTGATTCCAAGGTTTGTCTCCATAACTCTAGCTTCCTATTTACCCCCGTCCGACTATCGTCAACTAGCACCACATCATTCACAAAGAGCATACAACATGGGATATCTCCTTGTATATCCCTTGTGACCTCATCCATCACCAATGCAAAAAGATAAGGGCTCAAAGCTGACCCCTGATGCAGTCCTATCATAATCGGGAAGTCATCAGTGTCGACATCACTTGTTCGAACACTTGTCACAACATTATCGTACATGTCCTTGATGAGGGTAATGTATTTTGCTGGGACTTTGTGTTTCTCCAAGGCCCACCACATGACATTCCGCGGTATCTTATCATAGGCCTTCTCCAAGTCAATGAACACCATATGCAAGTCCTTCTGCTCCCTATATCTCTCCATAAGTTGTCGTACCAAGAAAATGGCTTCCATGGTCGACCTCCCAGGCATGAAACCAAACTGATTTTTGGTCATGCTTGTCATTCTTCTTAAGCGGTGCTCAATGACTCTCTCCCATAGCTTCATTGTTGGCTCATCAGCTTAATTCCACGGTAATTAGTACAACTCTGAACATCTCCCTTGTCCTTGAAGATTGGTACTAATATACTCTGTCTCCATTCTTCTGGCATCTTGTTTGCCCGAAAAATGAGGTTGAAAAGCTTGGTTAGCCATACTATCGCTATGTCCCCGAGACCTTTCCACACCTCAATGGGGATACAATCAGGGCCCATTGCCTTGCCTCCTCTCATCCTTGTTAAAGCCTCCTTGACCTCAGACTCCTGGATTCGTTGCACAAAACGCATGCTGGTCTCATCAAATGAGTCGTCCAGTTCAATGGTAGAACTCCCATTCTCCCCATTGAACAGCTTGTCGAAGTACTCCCGCCATCTATGCTTAATCTCCTCGTCCTTCACCAAGAGTTGGCCCCTTCACCAAGAGTTGGCCTGCTCCGTCCTTGATGCATTTGACTTGGCCAATATCCCTCGTCTTCCTCTCTCGGATCTTGGCCATCTTATAGATGTCCCTTTCGCCTTCCTTCGTGCCTAACCGTTGGTAGAGGTCCTCATATGCCCGACCCCTTGCTTCACCAACAGCTCGCTTTGCAGCCTTCTTCGCCATCTTGTACTTCTCTATGTTGTCTGCACTCCTATCCAGGTATAGGCGTCTGAAGCAATCTTTCTTCTCTTTAATCGCCTTCTGGACATCATCATCCTACCACCAGGTATCCTTATCTTCGCTTCTCCTCCCCCTGGACACTCCAAACTCCTCCGAGGCCACCTTACGAATGCAAGTCGCCATCTTCATCCACACATTGTCCGCATCCCCTCCTTCCTCCCAAGGGCCCTCCTTAATGACCCTCTCCTTGAACGCCTGAGCTACCTCCCCCTTGAGCTTCCACTACTTTGTTCTAGCGACTTTGGCACGCTTATCCCGCTGGACACGAATCCGAAAGCGGAAGTCAGCAACCACCAGCTTATGCTAGGGTACAACACTCTCCAGGTATCACCTTACAGTCTAGGCACGCACGCCTATCCTCTCTTCTCGAGAGGATGAAATCAATCTGGCTAGAGTGTTGGCCACTACTAAAAGTCACCAGATGTGATTCTCTCTTTCTAAAGAGGGTGTTAGCTACAATCATGTTGTAGGCTAGAGCAAAGCTTAAGACATCTTCTCCTTCTTGATTCCTGATGCCATAGCCAAAGCCCCCATGCGCCCCTTCAAAACCTGTGTTAGATGTACCCACGTGGCCATTGAGGTCTCCTCCTATGAAGAGCTTCTCACCAATCTGTACACTCCTAACCATGTCTTCCAGGCCTTCCCAGAACTCCCTCTTGGTGTTCTCATTGTGGCCTACTTGCGGGGCATATGCGCTGATAACATTGAGAACCAAGTCCTCAACTACCAGCTTGACTAGGATAATTCGGTCCCCACGTCTCTTGACATCTACCACTCCATACTTGAGGCTCTTGTTGATCAAGATGCCTACGCCATTTTTGTTTGCAGCCGTCCCCGTGTACACAGCTTGAAGCTGGTATCCTCCACCTCCTTCGCCTTCTGTCCTCTCCATTTGGTTTCTTGGACGCAAAGGATATCAACACCTCTCCTCACCGCTGCATCAACTAGCTCCCGAAACGGTTGTAGATCTCTGTCGTCTGAAAATCGTGCACAAACGGTCGTCCATGTAGCAGCGCTCATAAAAAAATAGCAAGTCATCCATTCTCATGCAACGACACCAGCTGCTTCATAGACAATCGACAGAGTGGCTGCTGCATACGAAGGTAGACGCGCTGCAAGCAGAGACAACATTGTCGCAACGGGTTGTCTGACTGTTACGGGCGTAGTGTGAGGGTGCGAGCAGTGTCACGATGCTGGACGGTCATCTCTGCGATAACAACCCGACTACTTTGACGGCGGCGGTGATGCTACAAGGTGTGCTGTGAGGAAAACCTGGCCACTTCAACGATGTTGCGATGTCATGCTTCGACGGCTGTGGCGATGGCACGATGCGTGCGGCCGCGGTGATGCTGCGACGACAGCCCATCTGCTTCGACGGTGTTGCGACCGCATGCTTTGAAGGTAGCAGTGATGCTACGGCGACAAGTTGTCTGCTTCAATGATGTTGTGATGGCGTGCTTCGACCACCACGGCGGGTGCTTTAACAGCCGCGGTGATGCTACGATGTAAACACGGGTACTTTGATGATGTTGCATCGACATGCTTTGACGGCAGCGGCGAGTGCTTCAATAGTCGCAACGATGCACGACGGCATGCCGACTGTTTCGATGATGTTGCGACGGCATGCTTCCAACACTAACGACTATCTTGCGGCGAACCGCGATGATGGCGTTCTTTGAACGATTGCGGCAATGCTGCGATGGCGTGCTTTGATGACCATGGTGATGCTCCGACGATGGTTCGATTGCTTCGACGATGCTGTAACATCGTGCTTCCCAGCCGTAGCAGTGCTTCGATGATAGGATGGCTGTTTCAATGATGCTACGACATCAGCCCGACTGCTCCGATGATGTTGCGGTGGTATATATGTTTCGACGGCCATGACGGCGGCAGGAACGCTACTCTAAGCATTGCTATATCTAAGCAAATCATGACTCCATGTGCTTGCTAGTACCAAAATCCAACAAAGACCTACAATCAACGTCAAATATATGGCATTCTGAAATCCTTGTTTAGTGCTGGCTATGTACTTCCTCTTGAAATTGTTGGTAGCGTCACGTAAATATGTGGGGACGTGCTAAGCACTATGTGTGAAAGTGAAAGTATAAGTAAAAAGAACCTGTTAAACGCGTCACGATAGGTGTTCACGCGAAGGCCAGAGGCTCCACGCCACACGATGGCGTGCGATCACACGGCGCACGACGCGGCTTACGAAGCCCAAAATCATCCGGCTGTTTTAGAACATTTCCCTTTGAATATACTTACCGGCTTGTCGGTCAACTCTTGTCTACTGTATAAAAGGGCCGACCTTGTAAATAAAGCAAGCAAAGAAAAATAGTGTTGTTACTTTCATCTACTTTTCAATAATTAGGGTTATGTCATCAGTAGATTATTCCAGTTTGGTACTTGAGCCATCTACGATGGTGGGCAAAGAAATCGAGATCGAGGCTGTGGAGCAGATGAAGAGCATCATGAAGCAATTGGAGGCCTTCACGCGCCAACGAGCAGAGGACCAGACGCTCCTTGCCGGGCTAGTGACGGCCCTCGAGCAACGGCTGCTGCCTTGCCCGTGGCACTAGATCCCACGGCTGCAGTGGCCATCCATTACACCACCTCCCTGTCCCAGGCCCTCCTCCCCGGCGACAATGTGCCCCTAGTGCCCCCCTCGCCAACCCTTCTCGAGCGGGGAATCATCGATTGCCCATCCCAACCACCCCTCGCTTTCCTGCCATCAACCGGCTGCTTGCTGTCGCAACACAACCCTGTGCTAACTCCTGCTAACCACCACCAGCAACCATTCCCCTTTTACCACCTCCAGCCATCTCCTTACTCACCAGCTGCCTCCTAACATCAATTTGGGCCACTTCGCGCCCTCACCTTACAACTCAAATCCTACCCCAAATCCCGCCCCAATTTTGTCGCCCACCTACTAACAACAGCTCTACCATCACCAGGCGCAGATCTCTGCCGCCTTGACCGCCTTCACGCCTCCAGCCACCAACTGATTCCTTACACCAGTATGGCCGTGCCCCCTTCCACAACCCATCTATGGATCCACCCTGCCCATCACCTCCCTCTGCCCCTGCCTAACCATTACCTTGGCTTTGGTTTAGGTTCCGGCATGCTCCGCTTCCACAAGCTCGACTTCCCAACATATGCTGTCTTGCTTGATCCTCTTGGTTGCCTCAATAGGTCTGAGCAGTTTTTTCATGGACAACACATGAACTAATGATGCCCAGTTTTGGTACTTACAACTCGAGCACAATTTCGACAGTTGGCCATGGGAACAGTTCAAGGAGGCTTGCCACATTCAGTTTGGGCCATCACGTCGAGCAAATCCCTTGGGTGAGTTGGCACGTTTCCCATTCACTTCCTTGGTCGTTGACTACACCAACAGGTTTCTAACGCTCAAGTGCTGCAACAATGAGCCATTAACACCGTCCCAACAACAGTACTAGTACACAGTAGGCTTGCCTGATGGTCTTCGCTTTGACATCGAGCTTCAACGACCATCTGACGTCCACACCGCCATTTCCTTCACCAAGGCCTATGAGCAGTGGCATTTCCTCGCAACATCACTACACTAGCCTTCTGAGCGGCCCCTCCGACCCTCCCATGATCAACGCAACTCCAATACCGCCACTTCCAGCACCACTAGCACTTGTTCTATCGTCGACCACTCCAGTGAACGCCGCCATGGCAAGTTTGGCGCCTCACCCCAATTGAGTTGGTAGAACGTCGTCGTTGGGCCTTTGCACAACATCGTCGACCACTCCAGTGAACGCTGCCATGGCAAGTTTGGTGCCTCACCCCAACTGAGTTGGTAGCACAACGAGATTTATGTTCGGTGGTCATCATTGTGCGTGGCTCTTCTTCATCGAGGCTGATGACTACGACCAAGATAGCTCCACAACTAGTAGTACCCAAGGTTCCTTGAAGAAAGGGAGAGATGATATGTGGACCAGCCCATCAAACATGGAGTCTTGCTCTTATCCCTTAACCAGAGTCCTGATTGATTAAGCAAGTTTGTTAGAAAGCGTCTAGTTAGTTTAGAGATCGTATTAGAGTTTGAATAGATTTACCAGCTTGTTGGTCAAGTCTTATGTACTATATATGTTGCTTAATGAAAAACCACATAAGGTGTTTTTTTGTCGATCAAGTCTTGTCTGCTATATATTCGATCTGAAGTTTGAATAGTCTTGGTAGATATTTGTCGTTGATCGAGTCGACGTGGCACAATGCTAGCAAGCATCGCATTCATCAACCTTAAAAACGGGCATACACATTGGTTATGCAACCGGTCGACGTATACTGGAGAGAGGTGTTTTCTTTTGGGTTTGTCCATGCCTCCTGATCGAGTGAAGCTTAATCTCGTTGAGGGGTGGACCCCCAAGTATTGTTACGATACCCGGCCCCGTGTTGTAGGCTGAATCCTCGACACGTGGTAAGCTTTCTACGTGATGTTTCCGTTCCGAGCCTGGGCTCGGAGGGAAATTCACTTGGCCCGATTGCCTAAGCGGTCGTCTCAAAAGGAAGCCAAGGTCTTGCCTGTTGTGAGAGCTCTCTTATTCCAAATGAGAGATAGGTTACAAATGATCCATGTGGTGCCTTTTATAGGCTCAAGGCCTTGTACAAATGACCACCACTACCCTTGGTGGGGAGGGAAAGCATGGGCAAAAGAGTCTATTGTAGAAAAAACTAAATGCCCCTACGAACAAAAAGAAGAGGAAGGTTATTTCAATCTTCTTTGGTCCATGAGGGATGTGCATGAGTGGGGTTAATGGGCTTCATACTTTCTTGGGTCTCTTTATCATTAGGTTGCCATTTGACTTGGCATTTGACCTTTCTTTTCGTGTCTTTGATCTTCAATATTTCTTGGTGCTCTGGCTTATACAACATGGAGAACCGGGAACCTTCTGATTGATAGCTGATATTTTTATTTACAACAATATAAAGGGGCTCGGCCCCTCTCAACAAAGCAGAGAAGAATATTATCGTCTGGTTTTATCTACTTTTCAATAATTAGGGCTATGTCAGTAGTAGATTCTTCAGACTGCGCAAGAAAGCTGCTTTGATTTGCATTGGGCATGGTAGTTCAACATCAAGTTTGGAGTATTATATTGGATATTCAGTCTAAAAGTCCATCACTAAGGGTGCAATTTTAGATATTTGATGTTTATACACAAGGTTGCGCTGTAGAGCTCATCTGAGTAGACGACACCATCAAATTAATAAACTGGAACTGGTGCTGAAAAAGTCTGCGAGTGTTTTGTATAAGCGTGTTGTTGGGTATGTGGAAAAAGAAAAGAGAAGGGGGGAAATTGAAGCAGCACAAGGTTGTGGAGGAACAACTCCACCTTGCTGGTTGCTCCTACACAGTGTGCAACACAAGTGTTGAAGGAACTACTTCAATGTGCTCCTTAGATATCGCTCTAGAGGCCAAATAGGCCAATGTGGCAGCAGGAGTTTAGTCCAAAACTCCTTGAGCACAAGATCTACTCCAAGATCTTAGATAAGAATACCAAGTTCTATTATAGGTAGTGGGGGGTACATAGCCTTGTCACAAGTTAGAGATGAGGACCTCTATTTATAGGACTTTGGGAAGTCTTCACATCCCAAATTCTACTTGTAGCTAGAACATTCTAGAAAACATCACTTAAGATACAATATTCCATTTATATCTAGAAGACTCTAGAAAACAGTAGCTAGGTTAAGAAAAGAAAATACTGGAGGGGACAGATGTGCGTGGAAGCTAGCTATCCATGTGCTAGAATTATGAGTTGGTTGCGAGATCTTATGAGTTTCAGCTCTAGCCTACCCCAACTTGTTTGGGACTAAAGGCTTTGTTGTTGTTGTTGAGAAGTATCTAGAAGTTTGCTCTCTTCTTCTTCTTCTTTTATTTTCCTCTATTGTTCCTCATCATTCTCCCCTGGTTGTTTGTAACTCGACCTTGAGTTATCTTCATAGAGCGCTTCTTCTGGGTGGTAGAGAGTCAAGTCCGCAACATTGTATGCCCATCTCGCCTGGAAGATCTATCACATAAGCATTATCATTTATCTTCCTCATAAGAGGGAAGGGCCTATACCTTTGCTACCTAAGCTTCCCTTTAATAATGAAGGTCTTGAAGTGTGGTTTTGTAATGTCCGCTGCTCTTTGTGTGATCTGGAGCTGTTTCTGGGTATGTGCGTAGAGGATCTGGTGCGATCCTATGCATAGTGGAATACTGAGACTAAATCATTAAAATAATGATAATATGGAAGGATAAGATATGCTTTAGTATGTCGATGTTTTGGTGGAGAAATCTGAGTTTCAAAGTAAACCATGGGCAACCAACAATCCTTCTTTAAGTTTGGAAGTTCTGGTGCCGTTTCTCTGTGATATACTCCCAGAATTTCTGATGTGTTGCTTCTAGAGTGGTTGCATGTATAATTTCTCTCTGTTTCACTTCTTAACCATTTAGCTTGAATTTTAAAACTACCAATAACAGTGTCGTGTTGGTTTCTGCTGCTTGACAGGCATCTGGCAACTCCAGTGCTCTCTTTCTGACCGCTGCTGCGCAGAATCTCTTGTGTTTGAAGTTAGCGGAGGAGGCTGGTGTCAAAATTGCAAGCCCGTGGATATCATGGTTCAAGGTTGCAAGTTTGCCTGCCATCATTTCGCTTTTAGCAACACCTTATTTGCTATACAAAATATTCCCTCCAGAAATAAAGGACACTCCTGAAGCCCCTGCATTAGCTGCTCAAAAACTAAAGAAAATGGGCCCAGTGACAAAAAATGAATGGGTCATGGTTGCTACAATGATTCTTGCAGTCTCACTCTGGATTTTTGGGTAAGATTTATGTCTTTTTGACTAAAGTATTTCTCTGCACTGAGTTTACCTACTAGCAATATACTTCAGATTTATGATTGATTTACAAGAGATAAACGCATCATTAGTCATACAGCTCATGTGATATGTGTAGTCTAAGAATGTTCTAATTTTAAAGTGGCCACAAGACTTATAGTTTATGAGCAAACATGTGACATGTAAATTAAACCCCTCTCTTCCCCTCACGCTCCCAGCCATGAGGCTGATGAGGCTGTATTTTTTTTAAAAGTAACTATGATGACGCTTTAGTGTCGTTTAGTGCAAATTAAACCCCTCTCTCTTCCACGAGGTTGATGAGGCTGCGAAACTGACTTATGGCACGACGCACTTAAAAAAGGGACTTCGACTGAAGTTGTCAATCGATGACATCATCGCAGTTTCCTCCACCTATTTGTGTAGCCGTGTCGTGCGCGTCGAGAACATAATGTCAGCATTCTGATCCGATAGTAACTATCGGGGGTCTACGAGTGGTAGATCAGAATGGCGACACACAATACTCTACTCCTGCTGCTGAAATGTATTGCTTAGTGGGCCGGCTGGATATCGGAGACATCTCAGCTAGGGTTGTACAAGGGGCGCCACGGTGGCTGCAGAGGTGGGAGCTGAAGGGTTAGGTGAGGAACCATAGATCTCGCTAGTGGTGTGTAGAATGATCTGAGATGAATCTCTTGTTTCTCGAGAGGCCTATAACTTTCCTTATATATGTGGTCAGGTTAGGGTTACATTGCTCGGGTCGGTTTACAAGTTGGTGGGGGCTACTGGGTCACAGCGGACCCTGGCTTGCTGGGTGAGCTGGTTGGTTGACTTGTCCATCGAGATGATGAGACATCCCATCTAGGAGCCGGACGTGAGTCGCCAGTCCGGCCATGCTAGGGTCGCTGGGCTGGTTTTCGGCCTTGCTGACTATACCCTGGTGCCGTCCGTGTCCTTGTCACAACCCCTTTGACACCGCGGAGAAGGAGGTCTGTGACGCCAACGAGCTCATCGGCCGGGTCCTCTCCGTCCACCTCGCCGCCCATGGTGCAATGGGGAAGGGAAGGGCTATGCCTTTGTCGAGTACGACGACGACTCCGAGCGTGTTCCACGACTTGCATGCCCCTTGCGTAGCTGTGGGTCAGCCCCCAAGACCTCTTCCATGACTTCTGCGGACCATCACCGCTGTGTTCGTCACTGCCACACATGCCTTCCATTGGCACCGTCTGAGCTCACATCCAGTGACAATCCGGCCACCTCCACTCCTGTGGACGCCATGGGCAAACTGGCGTGCGTGTCCTCGTAGCTCACGGACCCGTCCAGGGCCGCCATGGGCTGCTCCATGGCCCTGCCTAGCGCCGAGCATGGACAGTAGGTCCGTAAACAAACCGAACTCGAGCCACCCAGGCTCAGCTCGAGCTCGATTTCCATCACAAGCCAAAAGGTTAGCTCGAGCTCGGGTCGTGAGCTTAGGCATGAGGTTGCGCTCTACTAGCTGAAGGCTTTACAAGCTTGCAGAACTCTTTATTTTTTATATTTAACAAATTCAACCAGCACATCTTTTAGACGGCACAAATTAGAGTATACTGGCCAAGATGACAACAACACAAGCCTCTATTTATTGCTGGAGCTCTGCCGTGCTCTGTATCAGCAACCGATGTGGTATGAACTGGAGTGCTCCAACGCACATGCATTAACGATGAGTTACTAGGCTGCAAAAGGCTTCATTGCCTCAGGAGTGAAGTCCCGTGAGGTGCCCAGACTTGTGCATATCAGGTAGTAGTGGCAGGGGTATGATAACATTGGGCCTACAGTTATTTGCTGAAAGAGCTGGAACGTTGAGCATGCTCGTTCTACCGAGCCTTTGCGAACCGTTCAAGCTTGAGCTCGCCAGGTTCGTGAGCTTCACATCAGGCTTGAGCTCAGCTTGTTTAGCTCTCAAGCCAAGCTCGAATCCAGCCTGGAATGAATCAAACTCGAACAACATGACGAGCCCAAGCTTTTTTTACAGCCCTAACGGCCAGCCCCTGAACCCCAGTGCCGTGGGCGGCGACACGCTGTGCTGTCGGACAAGAGGGCATGCGGCGGCGAGCATGAGCGCCACCGAGCCATGGCTAGGAGCGCGAGGGGAAGAGGGAGGTTTAAGTTGCACATTAAACCACTGTAAAGATATTATCAGGGTTTATTTTGTAAATAGACGGCCTCATCAGCATGCCATGTCAGCTGTGGTTACTCCGCAAAAGGGTATGTGATCTGTTTGCTCATAAACAAATGCGACCGCTATTTAACAATCTAATAGTTCTGTGACTAAAGTACTCATCCTGCGTAAGCAATATGACTAATGGTGCGTTTGTCTCCATTTATATCTACTTATTATCTGCAGTGTTGCTTGCAGTTTCACGAACTGCATATCTTGCTGCTTCTCTTATTACGTTACACCTTCTTTGTGAAAGCAGACACACATACACATCACATGATTACAAATACTTCTATGGTTGGCTCTGCTGACTTTGTAGTTGTGTCCAGTTGTCGAAACTAAGAGGGACCTAACATGAATTAGGCACTATTTAATTAAGATACTGGGGATGACTGTCTAGCTCACGATCGGTGGTGCTGACGAGTTGCCCCTGGATGACGTCTCCAGTTATAACAAACTATCATCATTAGACTCCAATAGATGATGTAAAATAGGGCACCAAATTGTGGTTCGAGTAAAATTTACATCACCTAAAAGTGCTATTTTACATCACCAAAAACCTCCAACTCCGATAGATGATGTAAAATAGGGCACTAGCGCTCCAAGAGGTGATGTAAAATAGAGCAGCCGCACAACAGCCGCTCCACAATTTCATACATATGTGAACCAAATCATTTCAAATCAATCCTAAACCTAAACCGGCATTGAAAGTACCTCTATGAAAAAACTGGTTTAGGAGTAAAATAGTTGCCCATCAATCTTGCGTGAGCCTCGAGCTGTTCTCTTCGTGTGCTCACGGCCAAACATGGAACCGCCATGCTTCGGCCTCTTCTTGTGCATCATCAAGAGCAAAGCAATCACGAGCGAAATAGTGTCCTCTTTGTCGGCCAAATCATATTCCTCATCCGATGAGGAATCATCCCAAACAGAGGAGTCACATGAGCTCATCTACAATACGGAAATCTCCATGAAAGTACTTCTTTCGTGCACGTTAAAAAAACCATGACAGATTTAGGATATTTTTATCTTGTGCAATATTTGTCGAACACCTTGTGCACGAGGAGGAGAAAACTGGGCGGCTGCTCGTCGGAGCAAAGATGGTAGCCGTGCTGGCGACGAGACGCTCACTAAGGCCTCTTCTACGCCTCGTTGACGCGTGCCGGTTGGGGGCTGCCCGTGATTTTGGTGACATGGTGCCGGCGGCGCCGACCAAAATCATGGCGGTCGCGCGACTGCCCGCGGTAGCACCGGTGGCCAGAAGTCCTATCCCGGACAACGGCCATGAGCTGCGAGAGCCATCACGGGAGTCAGCGCTCTGGCCAACAGCCGAATCGGACAAAACATGGTGCGGCGGCAGGACCTTCAGCGGCTGGATGGGGTCGGCAGCGAACTCAGGGGAGGATGGACGAGCGGCGGCCGCAGCCTTCCCTTGCAAAATTGCTGGCAGCGGTGGTCGGGTGGACGAGCGGGCGGCAGGAGCGGCGTAGGAATGTTCCACGCGGCAGTTGGGCTACGCCACGACTGCACAAGTTTTGCTCGAGCGACACAAGTTATGCAAATTTGCATCACTTGGTGGCCTATTTTACACCACACCCTATCCCTCTAGTAAAAATAATTGCATCTACATCATCTATTGGAGCACCAATTTTGCCCCTGGTGGTGCTAAAATATGTTATTTTTTCATCTACATCATCTATTGGAGATGCTCTTATGGTACAGAAATTTGTTCCCTCCAGAATTTTATGTTGAAGTTTCCTTTATCAGTCTGACGTAAAGTTCAAGGGGTTTAAAATGAATTCCATTGTCTTGAAAAAGGTATGCATCGTTTTGTTTTCAACTATAGAAGTCATGCATTTTTGTTGGTTGCACCTAACTGACATTTGTACCCAAACAAATATTTGCTCCCCTCGTACAACAACTATGAAGCCTTTAGTCCCAAACAAATTGGGGTAGGCTAGAGCTGAAACCCATAAGATCGCACAACCAACTCATGGTTCTGGCACATGGATAGCTAGCTTCCATGCATCCCTGTACATGGCTAGTTCTTTGTCGATACTCCAGTCCTTCAAATCCCTCTTTACGGACTCCTCCCGTGTCAAGTTCGGTCTACCCTGACTCTCTTGGCATTATCATCATGCCGTTCGCTATGCATAGGAGCTTCTAGAGGCCCGCGTTGAATATACCCAAACCATCTTTGACGATAATGGACAAACTTCTCTTCAATCGGTGCTACCCCAATCCCATATAACATCATTCCATACCCGATCCTTTCCTATGTGGCCACACATCCATCTCAACATGCGCATCTCCGCTACACCTAACTGTTGAACATGTCATCACCTTTTAGTCAGCCAACACTCAGCACTATACAACATTGCAGGTCAAATCACCGTCCTATAGAACCTGCCTTTTAGCTTTTGTGGCACTCTCTCGTCATAGAGAACACCAGAAGCTTAGCGCCACTTCATCCACCCGGCTTTGATTCGATTCGATTGTTCACATCTTCATCCATCCTTGTGCATCATTGACCCCAAATATCGAAAGGTGTCCTTTTGAGGTACCGCCTGCCCATCACCTGCCCATCAAGGCTAATCTTCTCCTCCTCGTGCCTAGTAGTACTGAAACCGCACCTCATGTACTCGGTTTTAGTTCTACTCAGCCCAAACCCTTCCGATTCCAAGGTTTGTCCCTATAGCTCTAATCTTATATTAACCCCCGTCCGACTATCATTGACTAGCACCACATCATCCTCAAAGAGCATACACCATGGGATATCTTCTTGTATATCCCTTGTGACCTCATCCATCACGAAAGCAAAAAAATAAGGGCTCAAAGCTCCCTGGTGCAGTCCTATTTTAATCGAAAAGTCATCAGTGTTGCCATCACTTGTTCGAACACTTCCATAGCATTGTTGTACATGTCCTTGATGAGGGTAATGTACTTTGTTTGGACTTTGTGTTTCTCTAAGGCACACCACATGACATTCTGCGACATCTTATCGTAGGCCTTCTCCAAGTCAATGAACACCATATGCATGCTCTTCTTTTGCTCCCCGTATCTCTCCATAAGTTGTCGTACCAAGAGAATGGCTTCCATAGTGGACCTCCCACGCATGAAACCAAATTGATTTTTGGTCACGCTTGTCATTCTTCTTAAGTGGTGCTCAATGACTCTCCCATAGATTCATTGTATAGCTCATCAGCTTAATTCCATGGATTTAGTACAATTCTGAACATTCCCCTTTTCTTGAAGATTGGTACTAATATACTCCGCCTCCATTATTCTGGCACCTTGTTTGCCCGAAAAATGAGGTTGAAAAGCTTAGTGAGCCATACTATTGCTATGTCTTCGAGGCCTCTCCACTCAATGGGGAGACAATCAGGGCCCATCGCCTTGCCTCCTTTCATTCTTTTTAAAGCCTCCTTGACCTTAGACTCCTGCATTCGCCGCACAAAGCGCTTGTTGTTATCATCAAAGAAGTCGTCTAGTTCAATGCTAGAGCTCTCATTCTCTCCATTGAAAAACTTGTCGAAGTACTCCCGCCAACAACAACAACAATAGAGCCTTTAGCCCCAAACAAGTTGGGGTAGGCTAGAGGTGAAACCCGATCTCGTGACCAACTCATGGCTCTGGCACATGGATAGCAAGCTTCCACGCACCCCTGTCCATAACTAGTTCTTTGGTTATACTCCAATCCTTCAGGTCTCTCTTAACGGACTTCTCCCATGTCAAATTCGGTCTACCCCGAGCTCTCTTGACATTCTCCGCACGCTTTAGCTGTCTGCTATGCACTGGAGCTTCTGGAGGCCTTCGCTCAATATGCCCAAACCACCTCTTACGATGTTGGACAAGCTTCTCTTCAATTGGTGCTACCCCAACTCTATCTCGTATATCATCATTCCGGACTCGATCCTTCCTCGTGTGGCCACACATCCATCTCAACATACGCATCTCCGCCACACCTAACTGTTGAACATGTCGCCTTTTAGTCGGGCAACACTCGGCGCCATACAACATTGCGGGTCGAACCGCCGTCCTGTAGAACTTGCCTTTTAGCTTTTGTGGCACTCTCTTATCATAGAGAATGCTAGAAGCTTGGCGCCAATTCATCCATCCGGCTTTGATTCGATGGTTCACACCTTCATCAATACCCCCATCCTCCTGCAGCATTGACCCCAAATATCGAAAGGTGTCCTTCTGAGGCACCACCTGCCCATCAAGGCTAACCTCCTCACACCTAGTAGTATTGAAACCGCACATCATGTACTCGGTTTTAGTTCTACTAAGCCTAAACCCTTTCGATTCCAAGGTTTGTCTCCATAACTCTCAACTTCCTATTTACCACCGTCCGACTATCGTCAACTAGTAGCACATCACCCGCAAAGAGCATACACCATGGGATATCTCCTTGTATATCCCTTGTGACCTCATCCATCACCAAGGCAAAAAGATAAGGGCTCAAAGCTGACCCCTGATACAGTCCTATCTTAATCGGGAAGTCATCAGTGTCGACATGACTTGTTCGAACACTTGTCACAACATTATTGTACATGTCCTTGATGAGGGTAAAGTACTTGCTGGGACTTTGTGTTTCTCCAAGGCCCACCACATGACATTCCGCGGTATCTTATCATAAGCCTTCTCCAAGTCAATGAACACCATATGCAAGTCCTTCTTTTGCTTCCTGTATCTCTCCATAAGTTGTCTTACCAAGAAAATGGCTTCTATGGTCTACCTCCCAGGCATGAAACCAAACTGATTTTTGGTCAGGCTTGTCATTCTTCTTAAGCGGTGCTCAATGACTCTCCTATAGCTTCATTGTATGGCTTATCAGCTTAATTCCACGGTAATTAGTACAACTTTGAACATCCCCCTTGTTTTTGAAGATTGGTATTAATATACTTCGTCTCCATTCTTCTGGCATCTTGTTTGCCCAAAAAATAAGGTTGAAAAGCTTGGTTAGCCATACTATTGCTATGTCCCCGAGGCCTTTCCACACCTCAATGGGGATACAATCAAGGCCCATCGCCTTGCCTCCTTTCATCCTTTTTAAAGCCTCCTTGACCTCAGACTCCTAGATTCGCCGCACAAAACGCATGCTGGTCTCATCAAAGGAGTTGTCCAGTTCAATGGTAGAACTCTCATTCTCCCCATTGAACAGCTTGTCGAAGTACTCCTGCCATCTATGCTTAATCTTCTCGTCCTTCACCAAGAGTTGGTCTGCTCCGTCCTTGATGCATTTGACTTGGCCAATATCCCTTGTCTTCCTCTCACGGATCCTGGTCATCTTATAGATGTCCCTTGCGCCTTCCTTCGTGCCTAACCGTTGGTAGAGGTCCTCATACGCCCGACCCCTTGCTTCACTGACAGCTCGTTTTGCGGCCTTCTTCGCCATCTTGTACTTCTCTATGTTGTCTGCACTCCTATCCAGGTATAGGCGTCTGAAACAATCTTTCTTCTCTTTAATTGCCTTTTGGACATCATCATTCCACCACCAGGTATCCTTATCTTCGCTTCTCCTTCCCCTGGACACTCCAAACTCCTTCGAGGCACCTTACGAATGCAAGTCGCCATCTTCATCCACACATTGTCCGCATCCCCTTCTTCCTCCCAAGGACCCTCCTTAATGACCCTCTCCTTGAACGCCTGAGCTACCTCCCCCTTGAGCTTCCACCACTTCGTTCTAGCGACTTTGGCATGCTTATCACGCTGACACGAATCAGAAAGCAAAAGTCAGCATCCAGCAGCTTATGCTGAGGTACAACACTCTCCAGGTATCACCTTACAGTCTAGGCACGCACGCCTATCTTCTCTTCTCGAGAGGATGAAATCAATCTGGCTAGAGTGTTGGCCACTATTTAAAGTCACCAGATGTGATTCTCTCTTTCTAAAGAGGGTGTTAGCTACAATCATGTCGTAGGCTAGAGCAAAGCTTAAGACATCTTCTTGATTCCTGATGCCATAGCCAAAGCCCCCATGCACCCCTTCAAAACCTGTGTTAGATGTACCCACGTGGCCATTGAGGTCTCCTCCTATGAAGAGCTTCTTGCCAATCGGTACACTTCTAACCATGTCTTCCAGGCCTTCCCAGAACTCCCTCTTGGTGTTCTCATTGTGGCCTACTTGCGGGGCATACTCGTTGATAACATCGAGAACCAAGTCCCCAACTACCAGCTTGACCAGGATAATCCGGTCCCCATGTCTCTTGACGTCTACCAGACCACCAATCCATACTTGAGGCTCTTGTTAAGCGAGATGCTTACTCCATTTCTGTTTGCAACTGTTCCCGTGTACCACAACTTGAAGCCGGTATCCTCCACCTCCTTCGCTTTCTGTCCTCTCCATTTGGTTTCTTAGACGCAAAGGATATCCACACCTCCCCGCCATATCAACTAGCTCCCGAAGCTTACCTGCCAGGGACCCTACATTCCAGCTACCTAACAGACCCTCCTAGGCTCAGCTAGCTTCCTTACCCTTCGCACTCGTCGAGTCAAATGCGAAGACCCTTGCTCATTTTCCACTACAACAGGGCGTCGACGTAGCGCGCCACTAAGGATGCGACGACCCGATCCTTGCTCACTTGCCACCGTATCCAGATCATGATACGGCGGGCTGGGGGGGGGGCCCGGCCCTTGCCCATTTGACAGCACACCCGGGCTCCGATGTGGCGCGTCGCTGAGAGCAACAAAAATCTTTTGAGTTTCATCTCCAATAAGAGTGGCTGACTTTTCACGTTGGCTCGCCAAGCCTATCACAACCCTCCTCCTTTACTTGGGCTTGGGACCAGCTATGTTGAGACAACATAGGCGGAGTTGTCGAAGTACTCCCGCCATCTATGCTTAATCTCCTCGTTCTTCACCAGGAGCTGATCTGCTCCGTCCTTGATGTGTTTGACTTGGTCAACATCCTTCGCCTTCCTCTCTCGGATCTTGTCCATCTTAGGGCCAGTTCTTTTGGCGGCTTTTTTGGGCTTCTAGAATAAGCTGCCCCCTACCGAGCTTATTCTGGAAGCCCAACCAAAATTTTCTTTTTGGAAGCCTACTAGTCAAGTCTTAATTGGTAGGCTTCTAAAAAAATAAATTTGGTTGGCAGCTTATTCTAGAAGTCAGCAAAAGAACTGGCCCTTATAGATGTTTCTTTCGCCTTCCTTCGTGTCTAAGTGCTGGTAGAGCTCCTCATACGTCCGGACCCCTTGCTTCACTCACAGCTCGCTTTGCGGCCTTCTTTGCCACCTTGGCTGCCTGATCGTAGTAGTAAATAAAACTGAAATCCTTTAAGTTTTACTTATGCCTTCATTGTTCGGAAATACTGTTATGTTCTTCCTGCGCAGGGATTATGTGATTGTTTGCTTCCAAAATCTCGACTTGCGGTCACATTCTGTATGGCATGGAATTTTTGTAAATGTTTTCGTAAGAGGCAGCATGGTGACAACAAGATTAGAAGTAGGAAACTAAAACAGCAACAGAAGTTCTTAAAAGTGCAACACCATGCCTGTTTTTACAAATAGATAGAAATGTGTAATTATTTGTTTATTATTCAAAATATAGCTTCATGTTGAACTGTTGTACACTTTGTTTTGCAGGGATGCTATTGGTGTGTCGAGTGTTGTTGCTGCAATGATTGGGCTTTCAATTCTTCTTCTACTTGGAGTGATGAACTGGGATGATTGCTTGAATGAAAAGTCTGCATGGGACACTTTAGCTTGGTTTGCTATTCTAGTGGGAATGGCAGGGCAGCTCACTGACCTCGGGATTGTGTCATGGATGTCAAACTGTGTTGCAAAGGTTCTTCAGTCTTTCTCATTGAGTTGGCCTGCAGCATTTGGTGTTCTTCAGGCCTCCTATTTCTTTATTCACTATCTATTTGCAAGCCAAACTGCACATGTTGGAGCTCTATACTCGGCGTTTCTTGCCATGCACCTAGCAGCTGGTGTTCCTGCTATACTCTCAGCACTTGCTCTGACGTACAATTCAAATCTCTTTGGAGCACTAACACATTATAGCAGTGGGCAGTCCGCGGTTTACTATGGAGGTAATTTTACTTGAGATTCAAATTTATGCATGTTCACAAGCACTTGTGTGTTACATGCCCGTCAATTTGCATTGTCCAGTTTGGTGTTTCAATGTAAAAACACATCTAAACAAAACCATTTTTCTGATATATCGGGTTGTTTGTCCTGTTTCTTAAAAAAAAGAAGCAACGTTCCATTTAAGTATGGGGAGTGTGTATAAACCACCTTCAAGATTGTTGCATAGAACAACACCATTCCAATGCCTCGTTCGGAAACCACGAGTCCATATACACAAGCTGACATTTAAAGAAGTCCTTTTTTTAATGTATTTAACTGTTAGATTTCTCATATCAGGGCTTTAACCAAATTCTTGTTATTTTGCACTGCAGCTGGGTATGTTGACCTTCCTGATGTATTCAAGCTGGGGTTTACAGCAGCAGCGATTAATGCTTTGATTTGGGGAGTAGTTGGTACATTTTGGTGGAAATTCTTGGGTCTTTACTGAGGATTTCTGCGGTGTAAGTTGATGGAAATTGTTCTTTACTGCACCAGAAACCTATGTGGCTCACCATTTGGAGTGAGCTCATCTTTCTTCAGAGGTGCTTGTTGAAATGTATAATAAGAGAGGGATGTTCACCGCTCAGAACTTTGAACATGCTACATTTGTGAAGACCCAGAAGGGTTCACATAGTTTTCAAGACTGCATTGTATCTCTATTTTGCAGAACTAAATGCAATGTAGGGATGAGTTTAGATCTGGAAGCTCTGTATTTTCTTGATGTGGATATTGCGTATGCAATGACTTTTTTTGTGTGCCAACAATGGAGAGCTTCTGTCTTGATTAGTGGTGGCTGCATTTTGGAGCAGAGCGAGGAGCCCCCTTGGAAGAGGTGCCCGCAGCTCCAAAATTGGCCGCATCAAAGAATGGGTACTACTCATTAAAAAAAACTGGCACTGTAGCTGTGTGGGATGCTAGTTTTTTTTTTTAATGTTGGTAGGAGAGCTATCCAAATCCATTGATTAGAACGGCGTACTAAAGAAGGAATGCACCGCATAAGGCATATATAGGAGGAATGCACTGCACGCATCATGGGCCACAAACTCGTCGAAAGTTACTTTGGGTTGTAAATGGGCTAAAATGGATCATGGGCCTACACTGGCCCAGATACAAATGGGTGTAGGTCGAAAGAGACCATGGGCTGAAACTAGCTAAGACGCACAACAGACTGGAAATGAGCCGATATACATCACGGGCCGAAAATGGCCCAAAGACACCATGGGCTGTAAATGGGTCGAATTCATCACGGGTCGTAAAAGGTCCTAGAGGTTGTACAATTGTAAATGGGCTGAAAGGCAGTATAGTCTAAAACTGATCCAGAGGCACCACAAATCACACATGAGCCAAAAGTATCAACGGCCTAGAACCATGTTGAAAGGCCCACGTGCTGGAACTGAATTCATGAAGGTCCTAACTATGTGAACCCGAGCCGTAAATTGGCTACATGCAAGCAGCCGTTAAAGGGCCTTACATGAGCCAAATCGCCTATGTAGCCCATGGGCTTTAACCAGGCCTTTGTCTGGGTTGGCCTATTTTGCTCCCAACAAAACTCATAAACGGGTCTATGGTGCGAAGTGGTGCTCCCCACAAAACTCACATACGGGTCACCTCGGGTGCTTGTCTATGATGTGTCAGAGTAAGAGCAGTTGCGGCCACTTGATGCAACGCTCCTTGAGGAAGATCGTCTTTGGGCGGCTGTGCGAGTTGCATGCTACCAGCAAGCTTTGCGCCGCTACCATAGCCGCAAAGTTTATGCCCAAAGCTTTGAGGAAGGCGACCTTATTCTTCGACGCATTCAAGCCGCCAAGAGATCAAACAAGTTGACACCAAAGTGGGAAGACCCTTATCGGGTAGTACAAGTCACCAGACCTGGCGCAGTCCGTCTAGAGATCGAGGATGGCATTAAAGTGCAGAACTCATGGAATATTGAGTATCTTCGCAAGTTCTACCCATGAGGCGCAGTTGCCGAGCCTTATTACCAACGAACCCTTTTGTACAAGCTTTGTCGGCAAGACTTGTTAGCCTTTGTACAAAGCCAGGCGTAGATCATGTGAATAAAGCTAAGTGTTTCTACATATTCATTTATGTATAAATGCATGTAATGTTGTGATTACACTTTGGTTTGTATGAGATGGCTGATGAACCGCCAAGGTTTTCAAACCACTCTTTTCTCTTCTTTCTTTTTCTCAAAGGACGGAAGGATCCCTCGCGTACAAGCTTCCCTGAGGGAGTGACAATGGGAATACCATTTGAATGGCGTTGGTGTTTCAAGTGATCATTTCGTAAAAAAAGAAAAACAACATAAGGGAAAAGCTGAGTTGAAAAACTTTGAAACAATTTCCTTGTTATATTTGTAATTCCCCTTTGAACGATTTTGTGTTTGTATGAGAAACTTGCACGCGAAGGAACCTTGTCATGATCATTCGCGCTCTTACTTTGTTTCGAGCCCGCTCAACAATTTAAGTAGCTGCATTGAAAACATTAAAGGAAAACTTGTCGGCGGCAAGACTACCGGCTAGCTGCTAAGGACCCGTTCCTCAAACGCTCGCGGCAAGTGCGTGCCCCGGCAAGCTTCTGGCATGCGTAGGGTAAAAAATCAAATCATACAAAGATGAAGAGAAACAAGGGAGACATCACACATTCATCTGAGCATGATAAACGGTAGATATTCATTAACGAGTGCTCGATAACATTTTCTTAGCCCTTCCCTGCGGGGTTTACACCGAGTGCAATACAGGAGCAAAAGGAGTGCCTAGGCGAAGCCCGACTCGCTCCCGGAAGACCAGATGATGGTGCTGCCCGTGTTTAGCTGGAGTCGGAGCCGTCGTCCTCGATCTGGACACCTGGAGAGTTGTATCATCGTCCTCGGTCTTGGTGGAGGAAGCGGTGTCGCTGTCGCTCGAGCTCTTCGCGCAGCATTCCAGGCGAGCGCCTGAAGCCTCGAAGAACTTCACAAAGAGCGTGTTAGATCCGACCAGCCTGAAGTGAAGAAGGTGTCCCTGCCCCAAGCTGCGGGAGTGGACGAAGGACTTCCATCCGCGTGTGAAGTACATGATGTCGTTGGCGGAGATCTCGACGATCACCTAGACGGGGCCGTTGCAGCAGCCGTCCACGCATAGCCATAGGCCGCGCGAATGGCTATCTTCCATCATCCTAGCAAAGGGATGGGGAAGACGCAACCAGCTCCGCGGCCGATGGCGTAGTTCCATGACGAACTCGTGCGCCGTGTCCTCCGCATGGCCTTCTACCGGGGGAGGAGTGGCTGTAGATGAAACAACGAGTGCTCCGCCGTGGCGACCCCAACCCCGGCCGCCGCGTTCGCCATGACCACAGACCACGGCCCTTCCTCGAGCGCCGGAGCCGGCCTCCGTAGCTATGGCCGGAACGTGTGTGTGGTGCCGAGGATAAGCTCTCGCAGCAACGACGGATGCACGAGCTCGACCCTTTCCCCTCGCCATAGTGACAGCAGATTCAGGAGGGGAAGGTAGAAGAAGGAAGAGGCAATGATGGCTGGGGTATTGGAATGGAAAGAGGTGAATGAGCATCGCTCTCCCTGACCCCCCCTCTTTATAGGGAAGGCGCGAGGGCTGGCTCTTCACTATTTTTCGATGATCGCCCATTTTCACCAATCCCATGCCCTGCATTCCTGGCCAGGTGCACTACCCCAGTGACAGCCCAGTTTCATCAACCCCGTGCATCACGTTTCCTGCCAGGCGCAACACTCCAACAACCGCCTTGTTTTTATTAACCCTGCATTTTGGATGAAGTGCGTGTGGCGAGAGGGCGCAATAAAAGAGAAAATTAAGACAAATATGGTAGTTACTCTTCGCCACGCGTGGCTGTGCACCTGTTCAGGTCTGGCCCGACGATGCCTCGTGTACGTGCATACTCTAGATCTATGCACAGGCAGTAGCTGCTCGCCGACGTCAGGTTTGCCGGAGGATGGCCAAAAGCAAATTAAATCCAGATTAATGAAGAAGCAAAGAAGATCTCAGAAGACGAAAACCATCATGACAAAAATTGCAGGGTTAGTTTCCTGCCGCGTGTGTGTGTGCATTATTTGGGCCTAGCCCAATGACGCTTGGGAAACGTGTATGGCCTAGGCCCGGGGGCTCCTGTCGGTGTATAAAACATGGGATTTTACACCATGAGTTATGCACAGACGGTGGCAGCTTGCCTGCTGGCCAAGGCTTGCCGAAGACTGCCAAGACCAAGATTCAAGGCCCAGTTGCAGAAGCTACTGGGAGAAGATCAAGACAAAGCACCAAGATCAACACCGAAGACAACTGAGGGAGTCCTAGACTAAGGGGTCCTTGGGCTGTAGTCCTATCTCTTATGGGCCGGACAGGTGGGATGCTCTGCGACTACTAGAAGACCAAGCTATAAGGTGACTCCGTGTCCGAACAGGAAACCATCAAAGCCTTGGTGTGTCCTCCAAGTCAAGAAGGAAGAATCGGCATGTTTATTCCCTGATGGCAACCGACCATGTGTAACCCTAGGTACCCCTAGTGTCTATATAATCCAGAGGGTTTAGTCTGTAGAGGCTAGAAGAAGAACCCTCATCCTACTCACCTAGGGTTTAGTTCATCTGATCTCGTGGTAGATCGACTCTGTAGACATCATATACACATCAATACAGTGAAGCAATGCAAGACGTAGGGTTTTACCTCTTCAAGAGGGCCCAAACCTAGGTAAATATTGTCCATGTGTTCTCCTATTCCCCATTGATCTAAGATCCACAGCTCGGGACCCCCTACCCGAGATCCGCCAATTTTGACACCAACATTGGTGCTTTCATTGAGAGTTTTGCTGTGCGATCACAAAAGGATCGATGGCTCGCCTAGTCATTGGAGATGGCATCCGCACCGGTGACATCTTTGTTCCCGGCTAGCTCTTCACGTTCAATGGCATTGTTCTACATGCCAACCCGGCCGGTCACCTGGACCAGGTCAACCGTTTTGCCCCTGAGCATCAAATCTGGTTTGGCAACCTGGAGTACATCGCCAAAGCTCGGAGCGATCTGATCTTCACCAGGTTCTCAACCTCGTTTGAGGATCTCAAAAACCCTGAGGCTTCGTCCTCGGATTTTCTTTCTGACCCTATCTCCGGGTCGGCCCTTACCTCGGATCCGGCTTCAACCCAGGAGACGACTTTGGCGCCTGAAGACTAGGAGTCAACCCTGGCTGGATGCGCCCCTTACACTACCACACCGGAGATTGACTCCGAAGAAATCCCGGACATCGATCCGGCTAGTCTCTCCCTGTTACACGAGCTGCTAGATCAGATCCAGACAATGAGCATCACAGGCACCCCTCCCTCGATCTACAATCGGATTGGTCCTGATGCAGATAGTGGGGATTTTTTTGTCCCACCCACCACCCACTTTGTAGCCACTGTCCAAGATTTAACCGACATGCCGGACTACACTTCTGAGGAGGACGACGACAT